AATAAGTTGATTTCTCGTCCGTACGCTCTTCTAACTCACCCCCTCTCAGCCATCACTGATGCTTTTGCCAAAAGTACACTGAACTTGTACTTTAGCGAGCATTCTTGCCCAAGTGGATCATATAAAGGGTCTTTGTATCTTCACTTAGAGACGCATTGCCCCGATCTTTTATCTCGGCCGCTTCCCTCTCATCCTTACCTCCTTCCACCCTTCTCTCAAGCCTCTTAAAGTCACTTCGGATCTTTACGCCGGTTACTTCAACACACTTTTATAAGCCAAATCAACTGCTTTAAACTATTTCGAAATGTTGTTTGCTGTTTTAAATGCTGACTTCTTTAATCAGATTCTGATTCACTACTTCCTATAATCTGGATGATGATTCAACCTCAATGCTTTCTTTTTATAGCCAATAATTCTATTCTATACTCAGCGGAATGTATTCATGTGTTGGACATCTCCGATGTGTGTATGTGATTACGTAAAATGCTTAATTCCTTTGAATAAAATTAATTTATCAAACACTAACAAATAGTTTGCAACCGCAACACATTCAAAAAATTTGTATTTACAAAGGATAGTAAGGCACGAGATCGGATGAAGCGCTTGGCCTTAGAACTTCAGAAGGCTTCACAGTTCCATAGGAAATTGTATCTAGTGTCACAGTGCATTTCTGATAATAATCAAACTCCGTGAGGCAAACACAGTAATACAGAGTTGTATTCTCTTGATAATCTCGTTTAAATACGAGTGATGAATGTTCTTCACAAAATTACTCACCTGAGATTTCCCAATGTGAGAAATTTCCATTTCCGATGACGCGTAATTATCATTTCCCTCCTCCACGCATACTTGAACTTCATGCGGCTTTCCAGTTTCCTTCCTTGACGCTTCATCCTCTTCATTTGGAGCAATTGACGGTGTCTTCTTTCTTACCCCCGTCTCTTCCGTTTCACTATCAGTATTTCTTTCCTTTTGTGATAACAGAGGTGACCGTTTAATCAGCGCGTCAGTGGTGGGTAGAAACCGAACGCTTCCAAATGATTGGTAACGTTGTCGTTGAGAATCGTTTGCTTCTCGTCCTAATATTGCGCTTCCACTCATACTCATGGAGCGGCGCGCCTTTGACGACTTTGAAAGGCTTATTCTTGGGATGAATGAAGGATATTTAGGTGTATTAGGATTGAATTGAGGTCCATCTGTTGCAGACGCAACAGTCCCCTCGCCATCTCCGTCGAGATCAGCACATGAGACTTCCAAGGAACTTCCACCCCCGCCCAGTCCAGTTAGATCTGTTATGGTGCCCTTGCGAATTTTGGCTTTTCTTGCATTCTGAAAGTCCAAGAATAGTAATCAATAATTTTAGCAGAAAATTCAGTGGTGATCATTCTGAAATAATTTAGAAATCATGCCGAATGGAGCAGTAGCTATTGAAACTACTTCAGATTTGAAGGTTTGGCATAAATCGAGTGTAAACACCGCACTTTCACTCTTCACACCATCTGGCTAAACATCACTCCATCATATAGATTATCAAACTGCATTCACCTCTGCCTAGTGATGACGCAGATGAACAGTTAAAATACACATTGTGTAAACTACGTTTCTGCACCCTATGGATCCTATTCGCATTCCCTTTGTTGGGCCACCTGCAGTGAATCCTTAGTCGGGATCCATCTGGTGCAGTTCTTGCACAGAAAGATTGATTGGGCGAAATCGTTGCTCCTTCAAATTAAACTTTCTTTTAATCACTCCTATTACTACTTTACTTTAATAGCTCTTAACGGGAAATTTTTGGAATTTTCAATTGCGCTGTGCGTACACGTTTAAGCTTGCCGAAAATCCGAATTCTCCTATGGTGTGAGTTTAATGAGAGTAGTATTAGAACCATCATTTTCTGGAATTGATGTTGAAATGAGGGGTGTGTGATAGACTTAAGCACAATGGGCAACGTATGCCCATACATAAAAAAGCTTATTAACTGGCAGTTGACTTTTGACTTTAAACTACCATGACCACAATGTATGTCGTATTCGACTACTTTCACAGTACTCAGCTCAACTTTTTTCTACCTTTGTGTCTGTATGGCTCTTTTACATCTACTGTTTCTCCTCTCCAATTTTTGAGGCTTTATCTGTTCCTCCCCTCTGTGAAACTCGAAGTCAACTAAGAGGTAATGATAGCCATCAAGAAGCCTGCCATTTGATATAAATAAATATTGAAATGATCTATCATTTTAAAATATGCACAATAACAGCATTCGATGTCTATCAGATAAACAAATGTTTCAAGAAAAAATTGAAATTACTGCTAAACTTATAGCTAGGCTATTTTGACTCAAAATGGTGTGCGCTCCATATATTACAATGTTAACTATTGTCTAACTAGCTAAGTTAACTTTACAAATAAAGCAAATTTTGTCCTAATCTTACTATTTGGTCTGTATTGACACATACAAAGTCAAAAGAACCCGATATATATAGTTTATAGTACATCGGTTGCTGCTATGGTTAAAGTAACTGCTAATTGCATCATCACCTTGAGGAGATATATAATTTCAAAATATATATATATATATTTATTTATTTCAAATGGTTCATAATGAAGTTTCAATATTTATTTATTTATTTCAAATGGCCGGCGTTTTGATAGTTATCATTAGCCCTTTAGCTGACTTCATTTTGATAGTTATCATTAGCCCTTTAGCTGACTTCGGGCTCCATAGAGAGGAGAAGGAACATAAAAGTAGAGAGGGGGGGCAGAGGTGTGTTTCAAAGAGACAGACAGACAAAGGTAGAGAAAAGGTGAGATGAGTACTGTGAAAGTAGTCGAGTACGACATACAGTGGGTGTGATGGTAGTTTGTAGTCAGAAGTCAACTGCCGATTAATAGACTTTTTTGCCGTATGAGTAGTCAGAAGTCAACTGCCGGTTAATAGACTTTTTTGTGAAGTGAGAAGTCAACTGCCAGTTAATAGACCTTTTTGCGTTGAAGTCAGAAGTCAACTGCCGGTTAATAGAATTTTTTTGCCGATAGTTTGAAGTCAACTGCCGGTTTATAGACTTCGAATATGACATAGAGAAGTCAACTGCCAGTTAATAGATCATGGTAATTGAAGTCAGAAGTCAACTGCCGATTAATAGACTTGGGGTCATGATAGTTTGAACTCAGAAGTCAACTGCCAGTTAATAGACTTACTCATGGTAGTTTGAAGTCAACTGCCAGGTAATAGACTTTAGTTTGAAGTGAGAAGTCAACTGCCGATTGATAGACTTTTATTTGAAGTCAGAAGTCAACTGCCAGTTAATAGACCTTTTCAGTCAGAAGTCAACTGCCGGTTTATAGACTTTTTTGCCGTTTGAGTAGTCAGAAGTCAACTGCCGGTTAATAGACTTTTTTGTGAAGTGAGAAGTCAACTGCCAGTTAATAGACCTTTTTGCGTTGAAGTCAGAAGTCAACTGCCGGTTAATAGAATTTTTTTGCCGATAGTTTGAAGTCAACTGCCGGTTTATAGACTTCGAATATGACATAGAGAAGTCAACTGCCAGTTAATAGATCATGGTAATTGAAGTCAGAAGTCAACTGCCGATTAATAGACTTGGGGTCATGATAGTTTGAACTCAGAAGTCAACTGCCAGTTAATAGACTTACTCATGGTAGTCAGAAGTCAACTGCCGATTAATAGACTTTTTTGCCGTATGAGTATACGTTGCCCAGGGTGCACCACGTGGAAGTAAGTCTATAGCACACCCCCCATGAGGAGATATAGATAAATCTAATCGACGTGGAAAGTCAGTCAATTGAATCAATTGGCCTACTTTTCCTGGATATTGTGAACACTGACTCACCAAGGAACTTAGTTTAGTCTTGAGGAATCATTCCCCGTGTGAGTATGTAAGCCACTCAATACTCCCAGAATTTGAATAAAGTTGAACTTTTAGCAATCTGCTTCTTGAAACTATGCCTCGTTTCAACTCCAATTAGTCTCTGCCGGACTAACTATTTCTCGAGTTGAAATCCTATCCCCCTGATTATAAATAAATTTTTGTCAGGGTTAATAACATTGAATAAGGTTTGCTTATCGTTCACCACCTCTAAGCTTTAATCAGCGAATAAATCGTTTCATATTTAGCAATCGAGCACACCCTTAACGATGAGCATCCAGACGTATGAAGAATAGTACTCTGATTTACTAAGAGCATGTTCTAAATAATGGGGGGTAGGTTGGTCACAGCAGAGACTAAGTGGTCGGTTAATAATTAATTTGCCAAAATGTTTTCATACAATAGTCAGACTGAATTGTCAGTCAGCAAAAAACGGTTACTTAGAAACTGTGGTTGGTGAAGGTGTGCCTCCACTTTCCTCAAATCCAGTAAATTAAACCATTGCAGAAACTCTACTTCCCACGCAGTTCTTCCATAATCCATGTCGAGGGGAGGGGTGCGCAATAGACTTACCTCCACGTGGTGCACCCTGGGCAACGTATACTTATATGACAAAAAAGTCTATTGATCGGCAGTTGACTTCTTACTTCAAACTACTATGGTCCGACTATTTGTCATATTCGACCACTTTCACAGTACTCATCTTACCTTTTCTTTGCTTTTGTGTCTGTCTCTTTCTTTTATATCTGTGAATCACTCTTCTGTTCCCCCTCTCGACTTATTGTCACTTTGATGTTCTTTCTCCTCTCTGTGAAGCCCCGAAGTCTGGTATAGGGCTAATGATAACTATCAAAACGCCTGCCANTAACTGGGCAATCTCGATATTATTAGTTTATTAAATAGAAAGATAATCAGGAAATTTAAAAAATCCATTTGAAATATTTGCCAGGGAGGGGATATTTTTTCCCTTTTAGCTCGGAAGGAATCCAAGTTAAATAAATCGAAGTAAAGATTTTGGCAGACCGCTAGCCAGTCAATAGATGAATTGATATAGTAGTGATCGTCAATCGCTTATTAAATATATAAACACGTTGCTAACAATATCAAATATGGGGTGTGCGATAGACCTACCTCCACGTGGTGCACTCTGGGCAACGTATACTCATACGGAGAAAAAGTCTATAAACCGGCAGTTGACTTCTCATTTCAAACTACCATGATCCCACTATTTGTCATATTCCACCACTTCCACACTTTTTTCTCTACCTTGTGTCTGTCTGTCCCTTTTACATCTTTGAATCACTCTTCCGTTCCTCCCTATCGACTTTTTTTCACTTTGATATTCCTCCCTTCTATGAAGCCTGAAGTCAACTAGAGGACTAATGATAACTATCATAAAACCTGCCATTCGATATAAATAAATTAATATCAGATATATGGTTTTCAGCCTCTTGCCATTTTAGCACTTAAAGGGCTAACATTTTTTTCTTTCATTCTCTTTGACTCGTATTTTTTAATATTAATTACGAGGATTTTGATGCAACCTTTCACAAATAGCAAGCTCACTGTCAAAGAGATAATGGACAATAAACTCCTTGCACAAATTTGAAGATAACTATAATTTATATAAGGGGTGTGCAATAGACTTACCTCCACGTGGTGCACCCTGGGCAACGTATACTNTAATGATAACTATCAAAACGCCTGCCATTTGATATAAATAAATAAATAAATAAAAATATGTAGGGAGGAAGAGGGGAGAGGAGCTTTTCCGCATTTTTTTAATTTTGCTAAGGCATTCTAAAAGCCAGTTCAATAAGGAGTCCTGGTTTGACTCCATACAGTAAGCAGATTATTGACCAATTGATTAGTTTTACAATTGCTTAACCGCTTCAGAAATATTTTCGTTCTTATTGACAGCATTCTACCACAGCTGTAAAATATAGCATGACTTAATTTATATAGTATAGCTCGCTAATGCAAACTTCATAGCTAATTATGTCATTTAGAATGAACTTCAAAAGAAGTCATTTTGATTGACCACTGGATAGGAATGAAAGTTAATTTTCAATTCCTAAGACCCCTCCACGTTTTTCCTTGAAGCTGATGGATCGATGAGAGAAACTTGTCATGCTAAAAGAAACGAAGTACTATTCCTATTAAAAGCGTCCTTTTAATCTGTTCGCGATAAGCCCTTTAAAATCTATGGAAGGCAGTAATAATGGTTTTTTTGAGGTAGAACTGTAGCACGTTAAGCTATTTTGGCTGAAATGGAATAGAGTGGAAAAAGAGTTGTAAGGAATTCTGGGTTTATGTCAAAAAAATGTACCTGGAAGTGGGAAATTGTGTGGAAGGTGTTTTTTCCAGAGAGTGTCTGTCATTATCCAATTATGAACATCTGAAAACTAGGGCATTTCTATAAATCAACAGGTGTAAATGTCACCCAGAGGCCTGAATGCTTTTGGAAAATACAAGAGTAAATACTTGCGTATAATTTAAATTGTAAATAAACTCTATATTATGCACATTTTATAAATATTTTATTCTTCCACCAAATTAGTCAATAGAACGAATAAATTGGTTTGAGTGTTTACATTCTCTGTTAACTAAACAAATGAACGTTAAAATCTTAATAATTTCTCCCTGTGTGAGAACAAAAT